TACCCTGTAGAATTTTTTTGGTTTAAGTGGCTTCATTATATTCTTTAATTCTGCCTCAGTTACAGGGATTAATTTCATTTCTGGTATGTTATCATACTTGGAAGTATTGAGCAGTTTGTTAGCTTCATTTGTATCAGATTTGTAGTTACCAGTGTGTCTGCTATTGTTGTAAAATACTGATTAAAAGCACTGACTAATTCATTAGGATTATTTAATTTACTTTCCTCCACTTGGATTTCTACTATATTGTCCGTGGGTCAATTTATCGCTGTTTCTTTATTATCTTCCAGGTTGATTGTATTTGATCCTTTGATTTACTTATTAATTAATGGTAATACAATTTCTTTGCTTCTCTTATTACTCTCATTAAAATACTACATTATCTCTTGTAGTATAGTTTCAGCCCATCATCAGTCACAAATTAGACAAATCTAGACTAGACAGTGGTTAAAATTAATATACAGTAAGAATAAAAATCGTACATGTGATAAACTTGAGTACACAACAGTAGGTTAAACCTAATTTAACACTTAGGTGATCCTAGATCCACGATTTGATAATTAAAGAACGATATTAAAATGATCTTTCATATACCTGTAATCTCACTCAGCTAAATCTGGTGTTATGTAAAATACTTTCATTCATTTGCCTCCAGTCTTGTATTTGCATCTGGTTACTAATATAGCTAGCTTTGTCTAGTGCCAAAAAGCAATCTGTATCCATCACCTCTCACAGTAGTGAGTCTCAAGATTACTATCTTCTGGGATGTGACACTGTGCAGTTTAGTAGATGGACATTCTTATGAAACTTTGGTATTGATCCCCAGATTTACATGGCATCACACCCTAGAGGACCATAATCATTATACCCATCACTGTTTCATTGTTTCACTTTCATCCTTATTTTCTTATGGTGTATCACAGTTTGGTTACATATATTTAAGTGACCTTATATTCCTGCATGTATGGAGGTAATGAACATGTTACAAAATCTTGGCCAGGTGGTTTTATTTTAAGTCTAGGTGTTTGCTAATGAATGTTGATTCTAACACAGTTTATTCAATATGTAATAATATTTTTGCATGGTTGTGAATTTTTCTTCCATAAATGCAAACCAAATTTTGAAAGAGGTTTCATTCACGAGTAAGTCTGAAGCTTCTTTGTACCAAATGTCACTTCTCCAGGATTAGTTTAGGAGAAAAACTACCAGTGTAACAAGAATTGAAATATTCTTTAAAAACATTAACCATTTTCAAGTGAAAGTACAACAATTAATCCCTCGCTAAGAGAAGATCTCTTTAAGATATGTAATTCTGTCATCCTATGATCCATAAAAGTGCCCAAGATTCAAAAGCCAAACATTTTGGAATTGTAAGATTTGAGGTTTTCATGGCGGTGACTATGAAGAAAGCAATCTTCTGGGATTTGGCACCGTGTATATGTGGTGTTAATTGACGTTTCGGAGGAACGTAACACCTCCATCTTCAGGGTAGAAGGAAAAATATAAGAAATCCGCAAGCGAAGAGACCGTGAGAACCGATAAAAGCTAGAGCACTGTGTGATCAAGACAGCCTACATGCAGAGTTGGTGCTCCTGAGCGATGTATTCAAGAAGAACGGATACAACAACCGGCAGATCCACAGAGTTCTCAACCGTCGGACCAACATCAGCCAGCCTGAAGGCAAACCGGGCTCAGTTGCCTTCCTTCCCTATGTCGGGACCATATTCAACTGAATCAGCAGAGTGCTGTCCCAGCACAACATCAAAGCAGTGGGTCTGCCTCCAAAAAAATTATCCAGTTTCCTCCGGCCATTCAGAGATAGCCTGGGCCTAAGGACACTGGGTGTATACAGTATCCCATGCGACTGCAGCAAGCTCTATATTGGGCAGACAGGCCGCTCCGTGGACATGAGGTTGAAGGATAATCAGCGGCACATCCATCTTGGACATCCGGACAAGTCGGCNTTCTCTCCCCAACACAAAACCCTGCTTGTCCCGGCTCCTTCCCCCCTCCCCCCTCTGACTCCACTGATTTCACTTATAGACTTGCCCTTCCCCCCTTCCTTCACTGCTCTCACACAGCTGTGTATATTTCCAACACCAGTCTGCTTTTACCGGTTCTCACGGTCTCTTCGCTTGCGGATTTCTTATATTTTTCCTTCTACTCTGAAGATGGAGGTGATACATTCCTCCGAAACGTCGGGTAACACCACATATACACGGTGCCAAATCCCAGAAGACTGCTTTCTTCATTTTGGAATTGATTTATGTTTTCAGCAGTTTTAGAGATTATTACTTCAGAATTTTCCTAGAAAGTTATCATTCTGAGAGGTCTGTTTAAAAAGATACAAATATTTTTTGGAAAAACTTGAATGTCCTAAATTCACTTCAGTATCTAATGCCACAGTGGTAAGTAGTAGAATGTTTGATCAGTTGGGGAAAAATAGTAGATAAATATAGTAATAAAATTGTCATAATAACCAAGTTTAAATATTTTGTTTCAGTTTATGGGAACTTTTAGTACCATTTTATTCTTTTGACTAAATGTATTCTCAAACTCTTGGATCATAACAATTGAACTAGGTGCTTCAGATGTAACACATCTGACTTTATATTCTGGGAGTACCCAGTTTGAATCTAGACTGAGGTACCAACAATCCTGACAGATTTTCATGATTTGCCTCAGTGCCTCCAGGCAAATTCCTGCATAGTACCATGAAGTATGCTACAACTGCTTCCTTCTGCATCCTTTCCAATTCATCATTCAGTAATCTTTCTGTCATTCAATACTACAGTGCGTACAATCAAGTGCGCGCCGCGGCTGCAATTTGCCGTGAGTCATACCNGTGTGAGCTACAGACAATGTTGCTAAATAGCCAAAAATTATTAAAAAATCTAAACATAGGCATCTTGCTTAAATTGTATCCTAGCACTACATTTTTAGCCTCCAAAATGCAGCATTTCCCACTTTCTCTTCAATATTCTGGGCAAAATTTACACATATTTGAATGCAGTAACTAAATAAACATGAATGTTTATCTTTTCTATTTGCTGTAATTTAAGATCCATCTGAATATGATCTTTCTAACCATAAGAGAACTGGGGAATGTAAAGAAATTTTTTGTTACAATATGAAGTTTTATGTAGAAGAAAAATTTAGCTTCTCAGGCTGTTGTGCTTGAATTTGTGGATGTCTGAGGATATTTAAAAAGCATTATATCTTCAATTTACAAAGCAGAATAGACTGATGTATAGTTGGTTTTCGGTTTTTGAGCTTTATTGTATTGAGATTATTGTAAAGAAAGAAACAGACGTAATGGATTTTCATACATATTTATTCTCTCATATTGTATCCTGTGCTGTGGGCAAGTGTTTTACTTCATCACTCTATTATAGCTGCTTGTTCCTCCATGTGTGTGTTGATTCAGTTAATGGTTAATGTTAATGGTTGCATTACTGGCATGTTTGAAGGAATTTTGATACTTTTTAGTGTATAACAAATAGGAATTTTGGCTGTAAGAAAGATATAAGAACATTGTACTTTGTATATTTGAGATGTGGGCAGAAAGCATGTTCATAAAGCTTATACTTCAAAGTGATTCATTGAACCTTTAATATTGCATGACTGTTTTTCTACATAGTCCCTTTAGACATTTATCACACTTAGGATGAGGTTTCCATCTCCTGTCAATAAAAATTAATCCCCCTACCAATCTTCATTACAAACTCTTATACATGTGTTGTCATTTTGTGTTGTACAGTTTAAAAATTATGCTGGATGAACTTCCTTTCTGACTGCCTCTTGTATGCCTAATGTCTTGTAACTGTAACATGTAACTGTGTAATAAAGTATGCAGGCTAGAATGACAGTAGTATTCTGTCCTTTGAAATATCAGATTCCATTTCTTCATTCCCACAAACATACTCATATGAAGTGCAAGAGAAAGTTTTAAGAGCACTTGCTTTCGGCATGTGCATTTAAGGATTCAAAGGGATTAGACCATATTAATTTTAATTCTTATGTTTCTCATGGTAAATAGTTCATAACTTGTCACCAAATATTTTTGTGTATGTTGCTACTTCTCATTGAACTACACACATCATTGTAAGAAATTTGCAAAGAAAGAAAGTGTTCCTTTGGAACTCTTTGCATGTATCCACATTGTGTTTGTGAAGTGCATGCTGTTCTGATTAACAATCAACAGTGCTTGTAACATCATGACATCACAGCTATCGCTGCCAACACACAAGCCTGGATTTGGCTAGGTGTTCTAATCTCAACTGGAACTTGTTTGCCCTGACCAAAGTTCCTTATGATTCTTCCTTAGTCCTTTCAGACAAATTCAAGGATAGTACCCAGAAATGATTTGAGTCCACTTCTGCTCCTCCCTTTTCCAGTTAATGGTACATAACCATCCTCTCATAACCTCTGTAGCTGATAATAGGATTGTTAAATTACCAAGCAGGTTCTGACATCTGCATATTAGGGTATCTCTGTCCACAGTACTGAGGTGACATGAAAAAATTTATTTTTCCGAAAAAGTAGCATATTCCTTTCCCTAAAAACTAAAAATTAAAAATTCAAGATATTCTACTGCCTCTGATTTCCTGCAGCTATGAATAACATTGGTAATAAAAATGATAAATTTATCATGAATTTGCAAATAGATGTGGCTGAGGAATGAGTGTATTTTATTTACATGCAAAATGCATTCTTACTGGGAGATAAAGCAGCTAGTGTTGGTGGATTTGCCAAGTTTAGGACATGTTTATGGTGTAGCAGTTGGAAGTTGAGTGTGTTTATGTAATTGTCTGAAGAGCTACTAGTTTTGTAGGTCGTGCTGTTAATGTGAGAGCTAAAGTTGTGTTAATTGATGAGGCTGTACTGACAGATGCTACCTGAAATGCTAGTGAATCTTGTATTTTATAGCGCTAATAATAATATATAAATTCAAATTTGAGAATATTTCTATGGCTGCTTGAGTTTTGGTCTCTTTTCAGGCTGAACTGGAGGTGAGACGGCTGAAGGATGAGCTGGACCGACAGCATGAGAAGCTGCGAGAATTGTTACAGGAGCAGGGACGCAAGGTGCAAGATGAACGAATGCAGCTGGAGCGACGCTATACACAACAGATGGAACAACTCAGCACTGACCTTACATCTCAGTGGGATTCCTCCAGCAAGTTGCAACTGGAGCTGGAGAAACAGCGCCGTGTTGAAGTTGATCTCCGCAGAGACCTCCAGCAGAAGACAGTGATGATTGAAGAATTAAAAAAGGAGCTCCAGAATAAGATTGGTGAGCTTCTTTGCAGACATAAATTCAAAACAATCTTTATTGAATGTTTTTGTAATGAATTTCACTTAATTTAAACTATACCATGTTAAAGGGGGTTGTTTATCACCACAGCATGGTGCATCCTCATGTTATACCACCATAGTCAATAAGTTCGTGGACTGGCTGCATAGTGTTGCAGTGCACTACAGAAAATAGATTGAAGCATGATATGATGCCCTATCAGTTCATCTCTCATCACAGCAAGAGGAAGTTGTGTGCAAACAGTGAAAGCAGAACTATGGCCTCTATTGTAAACTGCAGTTTAATGCAAGTGGCAGAAATTGAGAATGTGGCAGTTTGAACAACGGGTGAACATCAAGTTTCTTCAAAAACTAGGCAGATCCCCTACTGAAATGTTTGACATATGAAGAATTGGCTGTTGCTACATGACAGCGCTCCTGCACATTGCTCTGTTCTTGTCCAAGAGGAACTGGCAAGGCAACAGGTCACCGTTTTGCCACACACTCCGTACTCACCTGATCACACACCATGCAGTTTCTTTCTCTTTCACCGCTTGAAAGCAAAGCTATGCATTCGTAGATTTCAGTCGTCCAAGGAGGTTGTCAATGGCACAAGAGACGCTGTATGGGAATTTCCTGCCAATATGTTTCAGCAATGTTTTCGACAGCTATATCAACGTTGGCAGACTTGCATAGCGGCCAACGGCAACTATTTTGAGGGCCGATGTGGATCTGTGTAAGTGTATGTGAATACCTTGTAATATGATGCGATAAAACCACAGTCCACGAACTTAATGACTGTACCGTGTATAAGGAGAACACAACTGACATTTATTTTGAACAAAGGTTTACACTTCTCTTTTTTTATCAGAGTAAATGAACTAGCTGCAGCTTACCAAGCTAAAATATAAAAATCTTATTTATTCAAAGTAAACAGTGACAAGTGAATTAACAAGGTATAAGTTAGATTTAGTGGGAATACAAGATGGAATGTATATGCTACTGAAAAAGCAGACCGTTACAGATTTTTCTGTGGAGCTGGGAATGTGAAACATCACATATGAATGTATGTGCCATCATCATCGTTGTCCTTTCCAGGATTATGCGCATTATTTTGTGCTTTCCAAATATAGTTTTCTTTTGAAGAAAGCAGTCTTCTGGGATTTGGCGCCGTGTATATGTGGTGTTAACCGACGTTTCGGAGGAACGTATCGCCCCCATCTTCAGGATTGAAGAAAAAGTATAGGTAAATCTGCAAGCGACAACACCGTGAGACACGGTAAAGCAGACTGAAGAGGATACCGTTAGAGCAGAGAGGGAAGGGGATGAACTGCGAGTAAACAAGTGAAAGCAGTGGTGTGGGAGGGGTGGGGGAAGGGAGCCGGGACCAGCGTGATTTGTGTAGGGGAGAATATAGCAAGGTTAACTGGCTGGGCTTTAACTGTGAGCTGAGGGGGGGGGGTTGTTATGTTGGTTGGTCATGGCCTTGTGGCTTCCTGGATCTAGCGTCATATCCCGGTGGGGTGTTTTTAAGAGAACAGATAAGAGGTTTCCAAGACTTGCTGAGACGAAAACCATCCTCTCTGTTCATATTCCCTGGATGCAGTTCGATCTCAATGGCTTCCCTAATGATGCGATCCATATAGCGCGTCTTGGTGGCGAGGATGGAGGTATTCTGAAGCTGAATGCGGTGTCCCAGTTCGATGCTGTGTTCAGCTACGGCCGACTTGTCCGGATGTTCGAGACGGATGTGCCGCTGATGCTCCTTCAACCTCGTGTCCACGGAGCGGCCTGTCTGCCCAATATAGACTTTCCCGCACTCGCATGGGATACTGTATACACCCGGTGTCCTTAGGCCCAGGCTGTCTTTAACCGGCCGGAGGAAATTGGATAATTTGTATGGAGGCAGACCCACTGCTTTGATGTTGTGCCGGGACAGCACTCTGCTGATACGGTTGAATATGGTCCCGACATAGGGAAGGAAGGCGACTGAGCCCGGTTTGTCTTCAGGCCGGCTGATGTTGGGCCGACGGTTGAGAACTCTGTAGATCTGCCGGTTGTTGTATCCGTTCTTCTTGAATACATCCTTCAGGAGCACCAACTCCGCATGTAGGCTGTCTTGATCACACAGTGCTCTGGCCCTGTGCACCAATGTAGAAAGTGCAGCTTGCTTGTTGGAAGGGTGGTGGTGGGACGCAGCGTTAAGGTACAGGTTAGTATGGGTGGATTTGCGGTACACTCTATGGCCCAGGGAACCGTCGGGTCTCCTGTAAATATCTATATCCAGGAAGGGGAGGTGGCCTTCAGTTTCAGTTTCCATTGTGAACTGGATGCACTGGTTGATACTATTTATGTGGTTCAGGAAGTCCTGGAGCTTGTCGGGACCGTGTGACCAGATGACGAAGGTGTCGTCCACGTAGCGAAACCAGCAGCGGGGCTTGTGTGGGGCCAAGTCAAGTGCCCTCTCCTCGAAGTCCTCCATATAGAGGTTAGAGATGACCGGAGAGAGTGGCGAGCCCATCGCCACGCCATCGGTTTGTTCATAGAACTGGCCGTTGAAGGTGAAGTATGAGGTGGTCAGGACATGGCGGAAGAGTCTCAAGATGTTTTCTTCGAAATGTCGTCCTAGCAGATCCATCGTATCTTTTATAGGCACCCTGGTGAAGAGTGACACTACATCGAAACTGACCATTATGTCGTGGGGATCAACATGGAGAGAGTCCAATGTGTGGACAAATTCCATGGAGTTCCTCACGTGGCGTGGACCGTTGCCAGTGTATGTCCTCAGTAGGCCAGCCAAGTGTTTGGCCAGGCGATAGGTGGGAGAGCCAATGGTGCTCACAATGGGCCTTAGTGGAACGTCAAGCTTGTGGATTTTCGGCAACCCGTAGAGTCTAGGTGGCCTGGACCCTTGAGGTCGTAGCTGTTGGCAGACCTCCTCAGCAAACGGGGACTTTTTCAGAAGAAGGACAGTCTTCCGCTCTATGGCATCAGTAGGATCCTTCTTCAACTTCCTGTAAGCCTTATCCTCCAAGACAGCGGCGATCTTCCGGTTGTAGTCGGACGTATCCAGTACCACTGCCGCATTACCCTTGTCAGCCGGAAGGACGGTGAGCGCCTCATTGGCTTTTAAGGACCGAAGGGCTCTTCTCTCGGCACCAGTCAGATTGTCATTTGGCTTGCGGGGGTTCTTAAGAATCCTGACCGTCTCCTGTCGGATCTCCTCCGCAGTCTCTACAGGCAGGGCCACTATCACTTTCTCCACCCCGCACAGGATATCCTTGACGGGAACGGACTTCGGAGCCACAGCAAAGTTGAGGCCTTTGCTCAGGGCCGAGAAGGCCGCTTCATCCAATGGCACATCACTCAAGTTGACCACTGTCTTCTTGCTGTCAGGTGGGCCGGGTGGGTGCTGGGCCTCATGCAACCGTTGAAACTTCTTGCAGTGCCTGGCTCTTACGTCATCAGCGATGCGTAAAGCCTTCTCACTGGTGATGCGGTCGATCAGGTCCCAGTCATCGGCGGACAAGTCCTGGGTCAAGCGCAGGTGTAATTTAAGCAGTTCTCTGGATACAACGTCCAGCTCCCGCCTGGTGTGGTGGATGCGTTCACGGAGCAAACAGAAGCTCGTGCGTCTATAGATTCTGTCGGCAGCGTCAGAATTTATATGGTGTTTGAACTGAAGGAAACGAGGGATGGTGTTTTGGTCTCTGCATCTAAGAAGGAAGGGAAGGGTAGAGAGTAGTTTAGTCTTCTTGATTCGTAGCGTCTCGAGTCTACGAATGTGTCGTTGAGTAGCCTCCCCATAGAGGAACACTATGTAAGATTTGAGGCTTTCACGGCGGTGACTATGAAGAAAGCAGTCTTCTGGGATTTGGCACCGTGTATATGTGGTGTTAACCGACGTTTCGGAGGAACGTATCGCCCCCATCTTCAGGGTTGAAGAAAAAGTATAAGTAAATCTGCAAGCGACAACACCGTGAGACACGGTAAAGCAGACTGAAGAGGATACCGTTAGAGCAGAGAGGGAAGGGGATGAACTGCGAGTAAACAAGTGAAAGCAGTGGTGTGGGAGGGGTGGGGGAAGGGAGCCGGGACCAGCGTGATTTGTGTAGGGGAGAATATAGCAAGGTTAACTGGCTGGGCTTTAACTGTGAGCTGAGGGGGGGGGGGGTTATCTATCTCTCCCCTACACAAAATCGCTTGTCCCGGCTCCCTTCCCCCACCCCTCCCACACCACTGCTTTCACTTGTTTACTTGCAGTTCATCCCCTTCCCTCTCTGCTCAACGGTATGTTCTTTAGTCTGCTTGACCGTGTCTCACGGTGTTGTCGCTTGCAGATTTACCTATACTTTTTCTTCAACCCTGAAGATGGGGGCGATACGTTCCTCCGAAACGTCGGTTAACACCACATATACACGGCGCCAAATCCCAGAAGACTGCTTTCTTCATAGTCACTGCCGTGAAAGTTTTCTTTTGGTTGATATTTTTATATTTTTTCTGGAATCCTGTCAACATATTCAGATTTCCTCAATATTGTTTTATAATTTTGTTATTTGTGCAATTTATTGTTCTCTCATGATTTGTTCATTTCTTTTACAGTCCAAAAGGGTGTCCTACAGACCTCATGCTATGCATGTCTTCTGATATAAATCTTCCCTCTTAATTTCTTCCTACTATCCATGACTGACTGCCCTTAAGATTATTTGGGCCCAGGAAGTGTGTAATTTGTAGTCTATTTGCCTATAAACTAATGGTGGTTTAATATTAGAGTTAATTTCACCGACCACACAACACGTTTTTATTATTGTCACACTACATGTTTTGACCTCAAGAGGTCATCCTCAGGTGTACAAACACAGTTGCACAATCACACGCAATATATGTCAAGTTTCTTCTTATAAAATACAAATTAAAAATACTATTCCAAATGTTAAAAGTTAAAATTTAAATAAATTAAATTAAATAAATTAAATATATTATTGAGTNAAATTAACTCTAATATTGATTAAATACACAACAGGATGCAAGAAACAATTAAAGTAATGGTGGTTTGAAAATCTGATTTATAATTACTAGTATTTCGGTAAAAATTGACAGTTTTTACATCCAAATTCTTATCTCCATTTGATTTAATTTTTGTTGGTTATTTAATGGCACTTTTAATATAGTGTAGTATAGCTAGTATAGCATAGGATACATCTTAATATTATTATACCAAATTATTTTATTACATCAAATAATTAAGAATATTAATTTGTTCCAATATCCTGTCATGAGCACATCTTGCTTCTAATTGCTTCCGTTCCTCTCAAAGCCATAACATTTTTTTTCAGTATTCATATCCATGGAAAATTCCATCACTGTATTATTCAAGTTGTATTTTGAGTACTGTAGAGCATTTTTGTTTTTGGGCAGAAGGATCAGATCATCCTTTTGTGTATTATTTTATTCATGTAAATAATGAATAGAAATAGTGAGAGGCTACAGCCTTGTCTCATCTTCTGTCAATTTCTTTCCATTCAGAAATTTCTGGCTGTTCTTACTATTATTAAGTTGTCATTTAAGACTCATATATTGCTATATCCCGTAGGTTGGTTATATAATCCTATATAAGAATTTTAATTAATTTAATCCTATTAACTTTTTTAAAGTCTAAAGGCCAGATAGGTTTCTACATTGAATTGTAAGAATTCAGCTGTTGAATATACATGGAGTTACCATTGTCATATAGACTAAAATACACAAGGTTGTGCCATTGGTAGTACCTGAGTCCAATTATTTTGAAGTTCAAATTGGTATTGAAAGATTTAAGAGGCATAAATCACCAAATATTGGTTGATTCCAGCAGAATTGATCCATTCAAAGATCTATAAACTTTGTAACTATATTTGAAATTAAGAAGAATTATCATAGCAGTTAGAATATGTCACTGTATCTTATAAGAGCAGTGATAAAATTGACTAGTAATTACACTATTCAACAAATCTGAATGTTCTTTCTGTTTCCCTGATAAATCTGGGTGCTGCCCATTGATTTTTATTGTAGAGTAAATGAAACATTTTTTCAACATTGCCGTCTGCAGTTCTTGTGGTTTAGAGGGAGCCGGAAGATCATGTCATAGAATGCTCTTTTTGCTTTTCAAGAACTTAATACTTTTCTTCCAAAAATACACACAAAATTGAGTATAAAGTACTATCCCAGCATTTACCTTGATGGACTTAGGAAAACCATGAGTAACCTCAGCCATTGTCCCAGCCAAGGTTCAAAATGAACACCTCTGTACAAATCTACCACTGCACCAACCGTCTCAATGATGTGTCCTATTATTCATTCAAATTGTGGTTAGTGTACAGTATATTAGTCTAATTGTTAGTTACAAGGCCATAGTTTGCTGGTTTAGGACTGTTGTATCTAGGAGATAGTTGTTTGCTGTGTTGTAAAAAGTAAAAAAGTAAAGCTATCCCTATACCAGGCTGTGAAGGCCCATAGGGTTGTGAGATGTTAAGGGTCCCACATTACCTTGACAATTGGCTCAAAGATGGCAGTAAGGTTGTCAGCCTTATGCGCCGGCCGCGCTTCACTCCCCAGGAAAATTATTTAATTAATTCTTGGTACTCATTTCTGTTAGAGGCTGAGTCAACCCTGGGGCCTAGTGCGCTATCTAAGGGAAAGGGATTTCCAAACAAAAGTCTTACAAGCATTTTGGGACTTCTGTACTCTAACCAAGTTTCAAGAATCTATCATTTGTATCTTCATTTAATGTGAAAGCTGTAATGGAACTGTAAGAACTTCAGTTGTATTGAATCATTTCGGTGCTATTGAAAAGATGCTAGGTCTGCTGTGATATGGCTGATGCTTAGACAGTGGTGTTCCAATTCATATGATTAATGTATATGTTAATATTTGACTTTCAGCATTATTGCTTCTTATCTGGGAGAATGCAGATTTCTTTTACATGTGTTATTCAAGACTTGAAGATTGTATAGCATTAGATTTGGCAGTTGTGCAACATTTTATCCAAATTCAAATGGATGTGGTGTAATGGGGGTTGCAGGCTTGCTACAGGCAGAGCTCGTGCAGGCAGCTGTGGATCGTGGATCTCTGGAGCAGGAGCTGGCTTCCAGCAAACTGGCAGTTGAGCGGGCAGAGCGTGATGGCAGGCAGGAAGTATCCAAACTTCAGGCAGAAGTTGCTGCTCTGCGGCAGCGTCTGGACCGAGCTGATGCTGATCTGATGCACAGCCGAAGGGAGAATCTGCGACTTGCAGAACAAGTTGCCTCACTTGAGAGAGAGGTGTGATTGGTCAGAAAAATCTCTGGTGCTTTGTGAGACCCTATTAGAAATTGTATTGTTGGGGCTCTTATTGTTTTCTGTTCTGATATATGGACTTATATGTCTCTATTTCCCTGATGTACATATGCTCAGATAATGTAAACAAAGAGAATTGGAGAAGAATAACAGTGTAAATGAATAGAACAACAAAGAAAAGTAAAAGGAAGAAATTGGAAGTCTGTGCTATAGTTGCTTGTTTGTCATTACATCAAAGTGATAAGAGCCCTGCTTGCATTTTTGGCCTTGTAGTATTGCATTATTAAAACTTCAGTAGAAATCCCAAGTAGTGATTCTTGATTTTATCTGTTTCCCATTACAGTTTGAGTATTGTCCATTGGAATTCCCATGAGAGGGCTGTAGGCTGCAGTGGTGTCTGTGGCCTGAAGTAAGACTAGTGTAGGGACCTTGCATGTGACATGGAAAAACAGAAAGACAGTTTATGACCTCAGTGTATTTTCATGACTAATATTTGAAATTATGATGGACAGAAGTTGAAATGACAGTAAAAAAGGTTACAAAGAGTAGTGTAGCAATCTTGTATGTAGCTGATGTGGACAATGAAATAATTTATGATAATGTGTAGTTATGTGGCTCAGTTGAGAAAGTATGGGCATGTGAGGATTATTAACCAACCTAATTGTCCATTCAGTAAAGAGATGGGATGGCGCTAACAGCAAGCCTTGGCTACCTGAAAGGGCATCTGAGGAAGTAGAGGGTAGGGTTCGGTCATGAAGAGATGCAGAGCTCATGTTACCGAGCCATAAAACAATACTGAAAATAAAATTACCATTGCAACTAGCCAGTATAACACAGAAGAATAGTTATTAGTGGTTCTGTGCCAGGCATCCTGCCATCCTTGCAATTAGAATAACTGCTTTTTCCATTGTTACTTGCATCTCCAAGCTGAATTTTCTATATAATTTTCCCAGCACTTTTGTACTGTATACAGTGAAACTCCCATTCAGGCTTTTCTTTGGAGAGCAGTGGATTTCAACACTAAAGGGGGGGTAAATCTTAAATGCATGACTTTTTAACACTGAGGTTGTTGACTTTGTATCATTGAAGCTGAATGTTAAATGACAAAGAACCTTAAATCAAGTAACATTAAATGGGGATTCTACTGTAATCAGAATGGATTAATATTTTATATAAATGCATGACTAATTTTGGATAATCAGATTCTCTGTTATATTGGTTCCCAAATGACAGTATCATTCCTTTCCATCAACACATATCTGTTATTCTTACATCATTTAAACTGAAAGCCCAAATATTGTGTAATTTTTTCATTTTTTGTTTGTTTTGAAGATTACATCCATGGCTGCTAAATAGTTTTTCTTCAGTATACTTTCAGGAGCCTGCTTCTTTCTTATCTGTGAAGAATTAATGAATAATGTTCCCGAATGCAGTGAAATTTAATTTATTCATTGATATTTTCAGACAGGATTGTTTTCTTTTCATGCCTGATGCTGATAGTTTTGAACCAGAAAACTTGATTATTTTGCTTTCTTTCCTATCTTGTAGATTGTTCTAACAGAAACACTGACAGCATTTTCAGTTGGTATTTCAAAATAGCCAATATTCTTCTCCTCATCAGAATGCTTTATATCATCATTAGTTGTTTCCTGACCTTTACCATGTGTTGTATGTTCTTAATAAGCCAGTAAATTTACACCGGTTATATAAGTGACTCTACCATCACTTACAGTGAAATCATTGAATTACTGACAATGCATAGAGCATCAGATGATTAAGATAAGGGGGAGAGAGGGAAGGAGTATATGTTACATTTGCTCTACATGCACTGCTAAGACTAAGAAGTAGTAAATGTAATAACATTTTGAGAAAAGTTGAAAGCATGTATTATTTTGGTATTAAAATTTCATCAAAGTTAAAAATCAAAATGAAAATGCATAGAAATTCGATGAACCCTGGAATTGTACCACATATACACGGTGCCAAATCCCAGAAGACTGCTTTCTTCATAGTCACCGCCGTGAAAGCCTCAAATCTTACAATGAAAAGTTTACTTACTGATTGTTTCTTAAATTTATGTTGACCATCCTTGTTGTGGTATCATATTTTCTCCAGTTAGGGTTTCATTATGTCAATTTTCCAGTTAATTGTCCCCCAACAAAATATCAAAGGTTTTCTCTGCATGTGCATAATAAACATTGCCCATATTGAAGGTCATTAAAAGTCATCATTGTATGCAGGATGTCACTATAAACTGGGAGGATATAATGTTTTATTGTAGTGGGCCATTAAAAGTAACCAATGTTTGCAACACTACAAAAGGAAATGCTTGATATTTCTGTGCTATATCTTGCTGACTATTCTTAACACATTGCGGACCAGACGGGCCATATGGCTCTCTACGTTTCCAAGCGTTGCAGACCGGACGGACCATATGGCCCTCTACGGTCACGTTATTTTGCAAAACGCTATATATCGCTGTGTGGCTTCGTTGAATCGTAACTACTGCGTAGATGACCTTGGGAATGATTGCTGCCTTATCTAGTAACTCGACCAGAGTCATTTCCTGTCACAACCTAAACAAAATTGGCTTTGTTCTAATCCAAGCTTGTACGTACGAACCACGCAGCTACCAGTTCAACATGGCTCAGAGACGAAAGCAGTTGCGATCTCTCGGAGGACAGGAAATATTAGATATGTTCTCCGATGAGCTATCAGATTAGCCAACTGCTTCATCTTCTGATAGCGAGGCCATTATCAGTGACAGTGACAGTGACGGGGGCCACAGGGCTGCCCAAAATGTGTCAAGTGAAAGTGAGAGCTCCGTTGAAAGTGCGAGTGTCGGGACAGCTACATGGGATAAAGTGGACAAAACCCCCACTTTGGGAAAGTTTACTGGTGATCCGGGGGTGAAGCAGATGCCATCGAACCCAACGGACGTGTCTGAAGTTGCGTCACTGTTTTTTGGAGATAGTTTCTTTAACGGAAGGGGGACATTCTTCTTCAGTCCTGGAGGGATACTCGCGTTGTGAATATGGTTTCCACTATTCACAATTCGAGCAT